ATGCTCACGATTTTGTAAGAATCTTGGGAGAATCAAGAGAAATGTAAGATAGTTTTGCCCTGAGGGACCATTACGAAGAATAAGTGACCAACTCTCATAAGATCACTAGTAAGCCATCCATGGCAGAATATGATGAAAAGCTAAATGGTGAAGGATAAGACAAGACAAAGAACGGAAGCCAGTGTAGGGAGAAAAGGGAATATGGCACAAGTAAGAAGGAGGAGGTGGGAACTGGCTGTGAAAAATGGATTTGTAGAGGCAGAGAGGAACGGGGGGGGGGGTGAATATAGTGGTGGACACAGAGCCTTGGAGTAGATTTTGGAGAGGGAATGGAAGAAAGTTCATTAGGAGGAAGAAATTGAGAATGGTAAGGGTAGAAGTGATAATTATAAGGGAAGCAGGAAATCAAGGTTCCAAAGGTTATATGGAATAATGAGCTTTTAGAAGGAGTTAAGACTCAATTTCCCCAAGATTGGCAGGAGGAAAGAGAAGGAGGATGTCAGGCGATATTTACTATGCTTTGGAGAAGATAGTACATAAGGGAGTTCATGCAAGGTAGTCTCAAGTATAGTCCATTAAAAAGGCTCTGAGAACACCTCCTAAACATGGTAGGAAGAGGGACTACAGGCTTGAGGTCAACCACTGAGTACATGTCAGGTTGTAGGGAAAACATGAATAAAAGTCTTGCTGAGAAGCAAGAGGGCCAAGTTACAACCAAGCATTCATCTTGTATTCATCCAGCGTTTATTGAACACTATCATTCATTGTTCATTCTGCAGTCATTTGGTTCGAACTCAACTGTGTGTCAGATGCAAAGGCAAACCTACTCACTAAGAAGACAGTTTGTTGGACGAGAGGAATATATATGTAGCCAAGTCTAACCTAATTCGTTCAGTGTGATGCCTGCCGTGATGAGCGTTCATCCGGAATCTCTAGCTGGCATATGAGTGAACGGGTAATTCAAGGAAGACTTCCCAGACCAAGCCCGAATTGAGCTGGACTTCAAGGATGAGGAAGGATGAGGAAAGGGCAGGAAATACTGTCCATGCAGAAGGAATAGAATTCAGAGAGCATGCCATGTCTGGGGAGGTTTTGAGTGGTCTGGTAGGTAAAGCATGGGAGTTGGAGGAAAAATAGAGGTGGTAGGGTATTTGCCTAATGTCATTTACCTCTCGCTAACATTTTTAAGGCAAAGGTAACAGAATTGGCAGAAATATAAATAAATGTGTGAAGAGACTAGACCTTTACCTGCTTGAATAAGTCAACACACTACTTTAAAAGTATGTAACTACTCCACTGGTGGCTCTTAACTTTTGCTTTATTTTGCTATGGTGACCTGTGGTGTTTAAAAAAAAAAATTTGCTCAAGCATTATGAGCTCTCATAAATATCACTAGTCTTGAGAAGTGTGAGTATGCTCATTGTGAGTCAATTTTTAGTATTTTGATTTTAAGATCATTTTGTGATACTGATTTTGGGACATCTGATTTCCATATCGTATGCAGTAGCTTCGTGAAACCCTTCTAGAACTTGCTATAGCAACACTTATAATCTTTCTATAATTTCCTTCAGTCAGAAGAAATAACAACTTTTGCTTTTTATCCTCGGTGAACAGAAACCTTTTTTTTTCTACCTAATGAAATATATGTTTAGGGGCGCCTGGGTGGCTCAGTCATTAAGCGTCTGCCTTCGGCTCGGGTCATGATCCCAGGGTCCTGGGATCGAGCCCCGCATCGGGCTCCCTGCTCCGCGGGGAGCCTGCTTCTCCCTCTCCCACTCCCCCTGCTTGTGTTCCCTCTCTCGCTGTCTCTCTCTGTCAAATAAATAAATAAAATCTTAAAAAAAAAAAAAAAAGAAATACATGTTTATAAAACTTCGCTTATGTGGGGCTTTAAAAGCAGATGCATGCTAACCTTCATAATCAGAATGAGGAATTTAAAGCTGTATAGGGCCAGTCTGAGCACTTCCTTAGATTGAGAACATGTATTGTACATCCTGGCTCTGTTCCAAAAAACTGTCCTCAAGAAGTTACATAAATTTCATTTTCATGGTAGTCCCCGGTGTTGGAAGTCTTTCAGGCCACTCTATCCAACTCCTCCTAGTACTTGTAATTTAATTCTGGGTACTTCACTTTACAATATGAACAGAATTATGCTGTGGTAAATGTGCAGGTATGTGGTCAAGCAGCTGATGTTAAAAACTTTATCCACTCTAAATACACGTTGCAGGCTTCCTTCCTCAATTAGATTCTAATTCTTTTGTGGCTTCATGGGGAATATATCCAGTGCATCTGAATTTTTAGAAGCAACATCCTGAAATTTCCTTTTGCGTTAAAGCTCACGTGAGTGTGTGCGTGTTTTCTTCTCAACACATGCCTTTTGTTATTCCCAGAATTTATATGGGAAACTGCATTATTTGGAAAGGTAGAATAATAATACCAGTTATTTCTGGAATAATAGATGTCACATCTGCCGTGTCCTGGGCGGTAAGGATGAGTGGTTTTAAAACCTGAAGTTATTGCCTTTTTTTTTTTTTTTTAAGATTTTATTTATTTGAGAGAGAGAGACAGACAGAGATAGCGAGAGAGAGCATGAGCAGGGAGGAGAGGGAGAAGCAGGCTCACCGCTGAGCAGGGAGCCCAATGAGGGGCTCGACCCCAGGACCCTGGGATCATGACCTGAGCCGAAGGCAGACGCTTAACCGACTGAGCCACCCAGGCGCCCCTGAAGTTATTTGCTTTTTTGATTGAACTCTGGATGGCCCCATCTAACCAGTTTGAGCTCCACTGGCTTTTATTTCTGTTGTATTTGAAGGAGGAATCAGGAAATTCTATTGGGATTACCCATTATATGATTATGAACTATTTAAATGAGATAACAAGGGACATACCACATATACTGCTATATTTCAAAGTGACGTTTTTATGCTGTCTGCTCTCTCTGAGCCTTTTCATGTGTCTCCTTAATGACTTTTATATATGAGACAGCCTAGGGGAAAAAATGTGACTTGCTTTCCCAATCTGTGCTTCCTTCGGCATTTTACTGTGCATAAACATGTCCGAATCTGATTAAAAGGTGCGGGGCCAGAGGGAGGGGAAGAAAGAGAGCATGAGTCTAAGCAGAGCACCGGGCTAGTGCTGTGGTTGCAGGATGACACCTGTTTCCAGGCTCTGTGCAGGAGCTTGGCATAACATTATAGAATCGAGCAAACTCACAAGAAGTTAGTCAAGTCAGGATGGGACCTGATAAAGTGCCCATGAGGAGGGCTAGTCAGTGCTGCGGGGGGGGAAGTCTTTGTGGACTGATTCCTAAGCTTCCAGGGCAAGAAAGAAAGGCTTCAAAGACAAAGGGAAGACTTGCCCTGTGATTTGGTCCTGAGCAGCAAGGAAGAAGCTGGTGTGAGCTTCCCCGCATCCCCGATGCAGGCATTTGCAGTCCTGGATTTGGAACTTGGGAGGAGAGGGGAGGGACGTAAGGGCATCTCAGGACATTCCCACTGTCCCCACTCAGAATTAGTAGCACTGAGCATTCAGGGGGTAATTAGGGATTTTGTGCCTGAGCACACACTCGCAAAACTTGGCGTGACCTGGCTGTGCATCCACGGCCAATGAATGTTAGTAACCACTGTTCCTTTTAGGTCATGATTTTCTGCTTGATGAGAAGTTGTCTGGCTTGGTGATAACATGCCTAAATGCGTAGCATGCCTGTTTTACCTATTTTGAGGTAAATGAACCAAGTTGCAGTCTCATATTTTCGATTAGTGGCAGCAAGAGCTGGGCTGAATTCCATTCAGGTTCCTTGGATTAAAAACGTATGCCATCATACAATACATCACCAGTTTTCAATGCAGTGATGTGTTGTATGGTGACGAACGTAACATAATAAAATAAAATTTAAGAAAAGAAAAGAAAATCCATTGCAAGATTCTGGGGGAAAAAAAAATATGCCATTTTATTTGCCCACAGTAGTTTCAGTTTTAAAGAGAGTCAAGCCTTACCCATACTACTTCATCTTTTT